AATTATTCACAACATATATAAATCGACTCAGTTTTTAACGCTGATTCCGAATCTGATATTAGTTTTGAACCAAATCGTAGCTTTCTAACAAAACATCGCCTGAAAAAGGTCTCAAAATGCAGAAAAACTGCATGCAAAAAGCAAATAGGCTAGATATGGCTCAGTTGATAAAAAGCAGTGAATATATCTCTTCATTTTTTGCAGTACACATAACCCTCAGATTTAAATCCGAGGTTTTCGTATTTATTTTTTTCTGATTCCGGAAGCGTGCCACGCAGTATTTAATCTAAAGGCATTATTGAGATACAAACCAAATTGTATTATCGACAATGCTAATTTTGAAAATATCTTAGGATAAAAGATCGATTCAAATATAATTACTGTCAAAAAAATATAATTTGATTTTCTATAAAAGTTCCAGCGCATTGAAAAAAATTCGTTCTTATTTCCATCGTATCCAAGACTAATATTTCATATTTGTATAAACAAGAAAATGAACCTCTCAGACTCTATTCTATATTTAAGTACACTGAACTAAGCAAATTATATTTTCTGATAGCAATTATATGTAAATCGATCTCTAATCCTAAGACATTTTCAAAATCAGTGCCTTCTACAATACATGTTGATTGATATCTTAAGAATGGTTTGCGGTGAAATACTGTTTCTGACTTTCATCAAACTCGGTATTATTACTATTGTTATGATCGAATCACGCACAGTATCTATGAATAGTGATATATACTTATTGATAGTGGAACAAATGAAGAAAATCCAAAAGTTAAACTTTGTTAAGTATCATCGTCTTATTCGTTATACCATCAATAGAGTAGACAGGAAATATATATATATGTATGTTTATTTTATCTGATGCATGATTTTATACTAAAAATTTCTAAAATATTAATTCAATATGTAAACTGATATATACACTACTCAGAAATGTTCATACAGTCTTATTAAATGTATGTATGATGTGATCAATATCTTCCTAAGTTTCATTTAATATACAATTGATTAGCTGAATTTTCCTATTCAGACTAATGAAATTTAGGAAGCTCATCACACATACGGTTAATAATACAGTATGAAAAATTTTGAGTGGTACTATGTACATTAGCTTATGTATTTTTCTGATAAAGTACCGCAGTAAAAGCCTTAAAAGTGTTCCCTTTACTAATGGAATTTTCGAAACATGTTAATTGTGCAAAATTTTAACGCCACAAGTCTTCGTTAAATTGGTCCAAAATTTTTTCCTTGTGTATCTCTAAGTAAATTTTCAACTTCAATTACGAAAATTAGTTTTTCTAGTATTCCTGACGGGTGAAACCACAGTATTTGTTTCAAAAAAAAAGCTGTTAGCTCCATCCTTGCAGAATTAAAATGGTAAAAATGCTGTATAAAGCTGTTGTTGTTAGTTACAGGAAAACTTTTTTTATTCTATTCATCTTGCAACACATTTCTTCAGCTTTCCGTTTATTAATCCTTCAGAAATATAACAAAAGAAGTAGTTAATATATTGTAACTAGCCTTTATTAATATATGATCTGTGATCATATATCCGCAACATATATCACGGTCTGTGTGGAAAGCAAATTACTACCCTATATACTTTAATACTTCTTTTACAAGGTGTATGTCATAAAATACTGTAAAAGTGCAGTATATTCGTATCTCATTTTGGATCGATATAATGCGCATAGTCTCAAGTCAAAAGTGATTGAACGGTTAGAAAACTTTCTCCGTTAGTTTACTGACCCAAGAAGAGAAATTCGTAGCTGATAAAATAATGAATGCTATACTTTTATCTATATATTATTTTGTTATTAATTACCAGTTTGTCCTGAAGATTTAATAGGTCGTCCATTTCTGAATGCACCTTTGCCATGTATAGCTGTATAAAGAAGATCCAAAACAGGATTGTAAATAATACCAATTACTACTTGTTTATTTATAGCCAGTGCAATAGATATAGCGACGAATGGAAATCTAATATTTTTGAAAAATAAAATATATTCATCCGGAAAAAAGTTATTTAAATATTTTCTTTTTTACCCATGTACAAAATTCGTTGTACCATCAATTGGATCAATAATCCATGTTGGATCATCCCCAAATACTGTTTTAACTCCGGTATCAGCTGATTCTTCTCCAATAAATCTAAAATATAAATTAAATCATAATATATAATGAATTTTAATTTCTATTTACTTATGTGTTGGAAATTTTTCTTGTAATTTTTTTATTAAGATTTCTTCAACACGTTGATCAAATTCTGTAACAAGGTCAGCTGCTCCAGCTTTTGTTTCAACACGTTTTGCTACAGAAAAGCCTTCGTTTACAACCTATGATAAATACACAAATAAACAAAGTTTGTTTACGTATTTTTCTATTTTTTTATTTTATTTTTCTCGTGTATGACAAAAATCAGTGAAGCATTATTTTCGTGTGATATTTATTCATATAGTTACAAAAGAAATGAAAAGAAGAAAAAATAAACATCGTTTTATAATCGATTTGTGAAGGTGAATACACTTACCTTCCCGGCTAAACAAACAATGTCAAGCACAGTTTTGTAGTAAATTTCAATTTCTTTTTCGGTCATTTTCTGTAAAGATATAAGAATATCTAGAATAATGCATATAAATAAATATATTAATATAATTAGTTTTTCTAATAAAAATTTAACAAGAAAATTTTTCTCTATTTGATGAGATAGGCGATTATGAAAATAGTATTTTAAATATTTCTTTATAGTTATTGATCTAGAAAAAAAAAACACTTAAAGAATATATATAAATCATAGATAAGGAACATGGATTAAAGTGTTTTTTTTTTATTAATAAGAAATAACACACTGCAAAAGAATAAAATTTATTTTCTAATGTAATTTGCAATCTGTTTTTTTTCAGTTTCTTAATTACAACAAATGGATATAGACTTTGACATACAGGCGTTAGAACGAACAAAAATTCAACTGTCGAATGTCATTCTATTTCACACCATGACCAGGGGCGTACCCAGGAATTTTCGGCGGGGGGTGCCCGACTCATTATGGGGATAAACACTAGCAGAAAAAATAATTTTTGTTTTCCGAAAAAATCTTTTACCTGTACCCCCCTCCAGGTATTTTTTGGCTAAGGGGGGTGCCCCCCCTGATCATGACTATGAGTAAATCTCGATGAGATTAAGAAAAGATTGAAAGAATTCGAGCCTATAGTCGACTGATGAAGAGTTATAGTCATTTTAATAAAATTTTTAACTGTGAGCAAGACTTTAGTAAACAATTCATAACAACGAGGATTCACACTAAAATTTCGTGACTAGACACATTTGAGAGTTTCAACGAAAGCAAGTATGTCTTTTATGAAATATTCAATTATTCTGTTCTCTTTTGGGAATTTGTTATTTGTTTGGATATTGAATATTTCGAGAAAGGAACGATTTTTTTTTTTCGTTGAAACTTTTAAAACTATCTAATGACTATTAAATCTGCTTATTGACAAAATTTCAGTTCGAAACTTTTTATTTTAAATTTTCTTTTAGAAATGTTTTGCATTCAATAAAAATTTCATTAAAATGAGTATGACTCTTCATCAATAGACCATGGACTCGGAAATCATTAAGCGTTTCTTAGTGTCACCGAGACCTACTTGCTGTCATAATATAAAGACGAATAGTACCTAATAGTTGGGGGATATGTTTTTTCATTAGATTCGTCACTTTCGATTTTGATATAATTATGTAAGATTTGCTCGAAAAAAAAAAAAAAATGGATGTTAATTATATTCAAAGAACTTGATAAGTCTTTAAGAAAATTGTCCGAGCTTGTAGAAGACGTATAAACCTATAAAAGAGAATCTTACAGATAGTTGTCATCCATATACGGACAATAAATTTTAATTATCTTAAGAAATGTTACGTCTGTTCTTTTTCTTCGCGTCATGATTTTATAATACGTTTTCATTTCTCGTGCAATTTGATTGGACGTTGACTTTTGATCTCGTGACATAAAATCTCGGATAGTATTAATTAAAGATAGAAGATGAATAATTATATCATTGACCTATTTATTTTCAATTATTTTAAGACTATCTATATTTTTTTTTATAGTAACACGTTTCAACTAAGATAAAGCTAAAAATATTGAAATTTAAAATAATTCCTATGAAATAATCATAGGACTTATTTCTCGACATCAATTTCATAAGTATATAATTTAACTATCTGTTAAACTTCTTGATACATATGAAATGATGAGATTTTCAAATAAAATAATTGAATTAGGAAAAGATTTCAATCTTAAGTTGAATGAAAATACTAACCCGAACAATAATATCAAAATCTTAGTTTTTGTCGTTTAGAACCGATGATCTCTAATATAGATAGAGAATGATTCTTATAAGTTACTTATTAATATCAATTAAAATTCTAGTTACTTAAAATAATATTGTATGCTATTATTGTCATATGAAAAAATATATTTTTTTTGCCAATACTTGATGGAGAAAAAGAATGCTGAGATTATTGTTTTTGTGTATGCCTAAAAATTGAGAAAAAAAAAAATTTTTTTTCTATACCAAGTCTCATGAGAAAAATGATTGATTACTTATAAGTAATTTACAGCTAATCATATAGTAAAACTAAAGGATAACAATAAGATCATTCGTACATTGAAATTATATGCCAATAGATGATACTTAAGTGAATATAAACAAGAATAAGAAGAAAATTTCCATAGAAAATTGTTATTATTGTAAACAAGCAATTGAATCATGGAGCAGATTGTATATATTTCAAGGGATAATAAATTGTTTTTGTAAAAGTCTTTTTTTTCCTGTTTTCTTATGCTTGATTAATGATTCATTACTACCGCTAGTACACTTTTCTTCTTGGTCTTGACAGTATTCTTCTCGGAAGTCAGTAGAAAAGATGGCGTTGATAGATGGATTTGAATTTTATTCTTTTCATATTAGTACTAGAAGATAGAAAAACTATTGATAAACTCATCTACTAACATTGGCTTGTTTACAAAGTCTATGCCATCAACAACAACAACAAAAAAACAATGATTTTGTATTTTCATTCTCATTTCTTGGTTGTTCTTTTGACGTTATACGATCGTATGAATATAATTATTTTCATGTGTAGGCGAATTGATGTGAATAAAAGATTAGTTTTTTAAGTTAATGCAGTTAAATTGATGATTAAGTAGAAAGACGATAGTGTTTGTTTTAGACTTATAGATCTTATTAACATCTAACAAGACCTTCATCTTCATTTCTCTAAGAGCAAGGACGAAACGAATAAATCAATGACGAGATCTTCATTGTATTCTTAGTTCGGTTTATCGTTCTATCGAATCTTCATTATATTATTATAAAAGAATGTTTAAGCTTCAACAAACTATTGATAATCATAGGTTCAATTCACATTTCTCTGCATTATATATACTACTTAGGGCATACCAAAAGTTCGTAGAGTGATACCTTAATACCTTATGATAAGCTTTAAGTAACTTTCTTTCTATATAGTCTGATAAAGAAAAAAATGCTTTATTTTTCTATGCTATTTG